CTGAATAGTATTTCACTGTATATGTGCACACACACACACACACACACACACACACACGACATGTTCTTTATACATTCATCTGCCTGTGGACACACGGGTTGATTCCATCTCTCAGCTATCGTGAATAGTGCTGCGATAAACATGGCACTGCAGATGTCTCTTAGAGGTACTAACTTCATTTCCTTTGGATATATAATCAGAACTCAGATTGCTGGATCAGACGGTAGTTCTATTTTTAATCTTTTGAGGAACCTCCACACTGTTTTCCACAGTGGCTGTACCAATTTACATTGCTAACAACCGTGTACAAGGGTTCCTTTTTCTCCACATCCCCACCAACACTTGTTATCTCGTGTCTTTTTGAGAATAGCTATTCTGATAGGTATGAGGTGATATCTCATTCTGGTGTTGCTTTGCATTTCCCTGGTGATTAGTGATGTTGAGCATTTTCTCACATACCTGTTGGCCATTTGTATGCCTTCTATTGAGAAATGTGTATTCAGATCCTTTGCTCATTTTTAATTGGATCATTCATTTTCTTGTTATTGAATTGAGTTCCTTATATATTTTGAGTAATAACCCCTTATCAGATGCATGATTTGTAAATATTTTCTACCATTCACTCTGTCGACTGTTTACTGTGCAGAAGCTTTTTAGTTTGATGCAATCCAATGTGTCTATTTTTGCTTTTGTTGCCTATGCTCTTGAGGTTAGATATAAAAAATTATTGCCCAGACCAATCTCAAGAAGCTTCTTCTCTATGTTTTCTTTTAGTAGTTGTACAGTTTTAAGTCTTACATTTAAGTCTCTAATCCATCTTGAGTTGATTTCTTTAATATGGTATGCAGTAAAAGTCCAATTTCATTCTTCTGCATGTGAACATCCAAGAATACAATCTCATTTACAGTAGCATAAAAAATACATAGTAATAAATTTAACTAAGAAAGTGAAAGGTCTGTATACTGAAAACTATAGAACATTGATGAAAGAAATTGAAGAAGCTACAAATAAATGTCAAGCTGTACCATGTTCATGAATTGGAAGAGTTAATATTGTGAAAATGTCCATACTACCTAAAGTGATTCTGTTCCATTGGACTATATGTCTGTTTTTATGCTAGTATAATGTTGTTTTTATTACAATAAGTTTGTAGTAAATTTTGAAATCAGGTAGTGTGATTTCTCCAGCTTGGTTATTTTTGCTTAAGATTGCTTTGGCTTTTGGGGGTCTTTTGTGGTTTCATATGAATTTTAGGATTTTATTCTTAATTTCTTTTTCAGATAGTTTGTTGTAGTATATAAAAACACTACTGGTTTTGGAATGTTGATTTTATATCCTGAAACTTTACTGACAAACAACAATTTAAAATTTGCCAGAATTTTTCACTTTGTATAATTTTAACAATTTTTGTTTAAATAAGAAAAACCTTTATTCACTTCCATTTTTCTGTTATGCTGACAAATCTGCAACATCTCTGAAAGATTACTGATGATATTTTACAGCTGTTCTTTCATTACAATGAAAGGCACTTCAGCTACACCTGACGTTTTTAACTAATTTAAAGCACTAAGGTGCTCGCTTGAGCAGCACATAAATTACAACCGGAACAACACAGAGAGTGGCATCCTGCACAAAGAAAACACACAAATTTGTGAAGCATTTCATTAAAAGCAATTTTTTAAACCACTAGGGTATTCTTACATTACCATGATAAGCATCTTAGGATACAATTTCCTATAAACCATGTGTGTTCCACCCTTTCTGGGTTGAAAACAATTTTCTCGGATAGAAAAGATAAATCCAACTCAGTGTCTCTACCATCCCTATACCACCTACCCCGCCTACAGAGTTCCTATATCATCCTAGCAATTATTTTGCCAAACCAAACTTATACGAAGTCATTTTAACTTTCTTCAGTATTTTTTACAATACATGGTTCTTCTCTTTAAGGTGCCTGGATTACACTCCGATTACAGTCCTGGACTACAGTCCCAAGCCTCTCTCTTGTATTCATTTATCCAATTATCATTTCCTGAGTATCTACTAAAGGATAAACACCATTTTTTTAATGTTTTGTACACGTCCTTTTATGATTTGACAACTATGTTCAAACATCCCCAATGTTTAACTTCTGTTTATATTATTTATAGAATATCTGCCTATTTTATCTATATTTTCCAGCCTAATTTTTAGGTACTTTTACTTTTCCATTGTATATTCTTTTAAGTTCCCTGAAATTCTTCAGGAATGAGAAAGAATGAATAATAAATATGTACACACAGTAAAATGTCCTTTTAAAATCTGAGCTCTAAAATGTTTAATGTGTAGCAAAACTTCATTGTCAGAATTTTACTCATGAGTGTGTTCCTGTCAATCCTTTTAGGCAAATTTCCCTCTTAGAGTCTCTGGGCTTAGCAACATTTCTTGTTTTCTGCTGATCATTTTGAAATATGGATTTAATAAGTTCCATGTATATGTCTAACGATGTCCAGAAACTCTTCTTTGAGAATTCTAAACTGTAAAATAGCATTTAGTCAAAATTAATCTCAGAAAAGGAGTTCCTCTCATAGCTTCCACTACCTTCTGTGAAGGGAAGTTGTCAGCAAATCAAAAACACATAGAATGTTCTGCTTTCAATGAAATGAGAAATCCAACAAAAGCCTTTTCTATTTACCCACATAATTATCATATTTGATACTCAGCATTGCTTTATATAGATCCAGATTCCATCTGGCAACATTTTTCTCTGCCTAGAGGACTTCCTTTAACATTTCTTATACTGCAGGTCTCTTAGGGCTGAATATTTCAGCTTTTGTATACTTGAAAAGGCCTTCATTTTTTTATTGAGGTAAAGTGACATACAACATTATATCAATGTCAGGTGTACAACATAATGATCAATATTTGTATGTATTGTGAAATGATCAGCACAATAAGTCCAGTTAACATCCACCACCATACAGAATTACAGACTTTTCCTGTGATGAGAACCTTCAGATTTACTCTCTTAGCAACTTTCAAATATGCAATACACTTATTATTAACTATAGTCACCATGCTATACATTACATCTCTATGACTGACTTATTTGACAATTTGAAGTTTGTAGAAAAGCTCTTTATTTCATTTTCATTTCTGAAAGATATTTTAGCGTGCTATAGAACTATAGGTTGACAATTGTTTTCTTTCAATACTTTAAAGATGTCACACTGCTGTCTTCTGACTTGCAGTAGTTCCAACAAGAAATGTACTGTCATTTTTAATTTCATTCCTTTTAATGCTATGTATCCTTTTTATCTGGCTGCTTTTAAGAATTTTTTTCTTTTTTACCATTTTAGTCAATTTGATTATAATGTGCCTTGGCATAGTTTCCTTGATGTCTCGTGTGTTGTGGATTTGTTGAGCTTCATGGTTATATGGGTTTCCAGTTCTCATCAAAGTCTGGAAAGTTTCAGTCACTATTTCTTAAAACATTTTATATGCTCCCTTGCTCTTTCTTTGCCTTCAAGGATTCCAATTACACCTATATTAGGCCACTTTAATTTGTCCCATAGTTCACTGATACTTTATTAACTTTTTTTGTCCTTCTTCTCACTGTTTCATTTTAGACAGTTTCTATTTCTGTCTCAGGTTTACTAATCTTTTCTTCTGAACTGTCTAATATGCTGTTAATTACAAACAGTGTACTTTTTTCAAATGTTATATTTGCCATCTCCAGAACTTGAATTTGTGTCTTTTTATTTGTACCATTTCTCTACTTAAAATGATCAACATTTCTTCTACCTTCTTGAATGTATGGAATATAGTTATAGTAATTGTTTAATTTCCTTTTATGCTAATTCTATTATCTGTGTAATTTATGGGTCTCTTACTATTGACTTTTTTTTCTTTTTTTCTGGGTTGCATTTTCCTGCTTCTTTGTATACCTAGTAATTTTTTATTGAATGCCACACTCTGTGAATTTTACCTTGTAGAGTGCTGGATATTTTTTAATTCCTTTGCATATCTTTGAGCTTTGTTCTGGGATGCAGAATTTCAATAAGGCAAAAATATATATACAAAAGATGAAATGATTGGAAAAAAAAGAAACTGTCATTCACAGACAGCATAATTGTGCTTGACGGAAATTTTTAAAAACTAATAATAAATCAGTAGAATTAATCATTTAATTTAGCAAGAATAATTAGCAAGCAATTAATCATTTAATTTAGCAATAATGGATCATTGATAAAGCAAATCTTTAACAAAGACTGTTACATTTCTTCATACCAATAACAGAAAGCTAACACATAAAAATATGTAAAAGATGCCATTTACAATAGAATTTAAAAAAAATCAGACACCAAGGAATAAAACTAATAAAGATGTGTAAGACTTCTACACAAAAATTATAAAACCATAAACAGCATTTAAAGTAGACCTAATTTAAAGAAGACCTAAACTTACTCTCAGAAAATAGTGGAGCAATGTTAAAATGAAGATAAGTTTTTAAAGAAGTACATATGAAACCCTCAAAGAAATAAAGAATAAGATCCATTTAAAAAAAATAAATTACAAGCATAGCTGTGAACCAAATTAGTTTTTATTCTTATGCCATAGTTATCATATATAAAAATTTTAAGGGGCTAGCCTGGTGGCATAGTGGTTAAGTTCGTGCACTCTGCTTCAGCAGCCTGGGGTTCACAGATTCGGAACCTGGGCATGGACCTACACACCGCTCATCAAGCCATGCTCTGGCAGCATCCCACATACAAAACAGAGGAAGATGGGCACAGATGTTAGCTCAGCAACAATCTTCCTCAAGCAAAAAGAGGAAGATTGGCAACAGATGTTAGCTAATGGCCAATCTTCCTCACCAAAAAAAAAATATATAAAATAAAAATTTTTAACAAGAGTATGGCTTATAATAATGAGGTATACATATCACATGTAATTTTTTAAAAAACTCTAAAGTCTTAGTACTAGATATAAAGAATATAATTTTGGTATTCACAGATTACCTGATAATCAGCAGGCCCGGGAGTAGTAAAATCTTCTTCTTGAACCAGGAACAAAGTCCGAGGAACAGAAGAACCAAATGCACCTTTCTTTTGTTTCTTCAAGCAGGTATTGCTCAAGTTGTCAATTATAGTATTGTTCAGATTATAAAACCCAGGACCTAAAATTATGAGAATGTCGTATGTGAAAACAAACATGTTTTTAATTCTTTAAAAGTGAGTAATTTTAAGTTGAGTATTTTTTTAAAGAAATTCTTATATATTGCTGGCAAGAATGTAAGAAGGGGAATTCTTGATGCCAAAAAGTATTGAAAAGTTGATGTAGCAACATTAAAAATCAATTTGAAAAAAAAAATCACCTATCATCTAATCTTCCTATCATAGCAGTTATTTTAGTTTTTATCTTTTACCTTTTAGTCACATTTATAACCAGAAATATTTTCTACAGTTGCAATCTGAGTGAATAATGTTTCTCTTTTTTCATTCAAAATAATACAACTTCCTATGCAATTGAAAAAAGTTTTTATCAAGACATTCAAATATTTGAAACAAATATTTGTACATGTCGTATAATTCAGTATTTTAAAATAAATCAGTTCCATGAGCAGCAATATCCATAAAATGCAATATGATATACTTGAAAGCACCGTTGACGTGGTTGTACTCATGTTTTCTGTAATATACTAAATTAACTCTGCAACTAAATAGGTATAGAACGTCACTTAAACCTCATTTGTTTTTCTGGACCCCAAGTCCCTTGTCTGAAGATAACAGCCATTGACTAAATGAGTGCTACTCAAAATGTGGCCTGTGGACTGCTGCCTGTCCAAAAACAACCTACAAGAGAAGGAGCTTACAACTAAATGTAAATGGACTATTTCTCTAAGCATTGTGTAACTAGTCTTTCTCTAAGAAGGAAGGTGTTGATTTACATTCTGCTGCATCTCCCTTCTCACAATAGGCAGGAAACAGTTGACAAATGGGCACTTTTTTATAGCAAGAGGCTAGATGATATTTTAGTTTCTTCCCGGATTAAAAGGGATCAAGTCATTCTATATTATCAAATCCTCTGTACTCCTGACACATATAAAGTGTTTCTCAAAGAAGCTGCCCACAAACTCCAATTTTTCCAACATTCCAGTTCTAAAGTCTGTTCCCCTTCTCTGCTAAAAATTCTGTTGTACTAACTCTCAGAAAACCTAAATGCTGATACGTTTTATTCCTGCCATCTTCCAACATTCCTCCACTGATAAAGTTTACAAAAAAGGTAAATAGAAAGCACAATGAAAACTATTTGAACCATCCGTTAAGGTACTTAAAAGATAAGTATCTCAGACGTCTCTCTTTTAGCATGAGAGGACAACACAACACATTACAGGTGAGCTTAAGTACTTAAATATAGGGACTTCAAGGTGTGTACATCTCATGTACTACTCCGTTAAGATTCTATTTGAAAAGCCATCATATAATTCATTCACATTAGAGGTTTTTTATATTCATTTTTCAGTTACTATGTGTATAAATTCCCAGGAACCCCAGAACTAGATAGTTTAGGGATGCCTTCTAACAGTAACCTGTAACAGCTCTGAGCCATATATTAGGTGGTCAAATCTGTTCTATGACTGATTGATGAGTCCAATTCATTACAATACCCTAATGTCTACAAGAAAAGAAAAAAAATTCCATGAAGACCATTCTCACTAATTCTTAACATATGTCAGATTGAGGATTATGATTTTAGAGGTCATCATAATTGAAATTTATCCTTCACAAATAAACTAACCTTTGGGGAATTTATAACACTTTATTTGTAATACATTGGACTATCAAACTGAAAACAAGACCAAATCTTAAGGCAAGTGGGTCACTCAATAAATTCATATTTATAAATAATTTGTATTTCAGATTCATGGTAAACGCTGCGGGGAATGGCTCATCTCGGATAGTGCCAAACACCTCTTAATTACCTCTCCAGAACGGCAGTCTTAGAATAGTCAGACTTCTACACAGAGGCTCGGGCCTCCAAGACCAAGTGTTTCAACAGGCTCAGGTGTACGCTGTAAAGCTTATGACTTTGACTGAGAAGTGCTACATATCAGCTCCACTTGACACTATTGGTCACGAAAACCACCACACTAGCCAAGATTGAAGGAGAGAAGAACAAGCCTGAACCTCTCAATGGCATGAGCAGTAAATAATTTTGCACCAGGAGTACAATATTACGATAACAAGTTACTATACCAAAACTTGTAGCAATGATTTGGGATCAGGCAGTGGGGCAGAAGCTGAAACAACTCAACACTTAGAGAAAGGGCCTTGAGGAGATAGTTGGTGATGCCTTAAAGGTCAGTCATGAAAGAAGATAACTTGTAGTATGCAACGGCAGAAATTTTAGCAAAACCAATGCTTGGGATAATGAAGAAAATACCTAAATAAATTAATGGGTTCTAGCTAAGGAAATATCTAGGCTGAACATCAAAAGTGCCAACTAATTGTTTTTTAGCTGAGTTAGAGAAGGCATGGATGGAAAAAGAGGAGCTGTTCAGTTTTCAAGAAAAATTTATAGAAAATAAAAAGAAATCAAGATTTTCTGGGTTTGAAAGTAAAACCGTTTTTCATCCCCAGTCTCTCCATACAGCAAAAAGCTCTCAAAGTGAGAAATGGCCTGAGGGCACAGACCAAATCCAGGGTTTCACCCTAAGACCTTTGTTAAGACTCAGAAAGGTTTAAGATGGTACCTCATAGAATCTGTCAGTTAAAGAAAAGGGGCTCTAAGAATTTCAAGGCCATACGTCATAGACCCACTTGGCTAGACAACAGTGCTCCTAAGAATCTAAAAGTATTGAAACACAGCAGCACCAAAGGTGACCCAAAATAGACAAGGGTTTTTCTAAGAAGTCTAATTAAGTGTGGCTTTTGTCCAGTGTATTCGATTATAAATTCATACAGTAAGGAATCTATAAAGTTTTTATAAGGAATTGTACCAACTTAGAATGAAAAGGACAACAGTGCAAAATGAAAAGAGGCTTGTAGACTCCCACTATAGACTCTATGGGCAGGAAGCAGGCTGAGAAAGCTCCCACTGCAAACAAAGCCTATTTCTTATAGAAAAGGAAAGATGATTCAAAGGATGGAACCAAGAGACCAAAAGTAGAACAAAGGAACGTGGAAACTCATTCCCAGGGAGCCCAGCTGGGCCCTAATCAAGGAAATGGCAACACATGCCCAGTTGTATTTCAGAATTGCTGTAGGCCTGTGATTGCTATGGGCCTCCAGTTTTCCTCTTTTCTGAACAAGGGTCCCTAGTATGTCTTTTCTCTCTCCCTCCATTGTGTGTTGGATGTGTAGAGCAGATAACTTTCGTATCTTTAGTTCACAGCTCTGCCAGTAGAGAGGAGTCAAACTCAAGAAGCTGATGTTGAAGTACCACGCCCAAGAATTCTCACCTACACCTATACTAGACTTAGATAACAAGATCCTGGACTTCAAGGTAATACCATAATTGCATAAGACTTTGGAGGCCTTGAGAAGGCATATAGGAAAATTTTCTGGCCAGAGGGTAGTCTATAGTAGATTAAAGATGGCCACAAATTCTTTGCTACCAGTGTCATTGAGAGATAAAGCTTCATGTTCTTCTGTTCAATATGTGCCGCCCTGAGTGACTTGATTGACTAACAGAATGTGGCAAAAGTGATGTCCTGGGATTTCTGAGGTTAGGCCATAAGAAACCTTTCAGCATCCTGCCAGGTCTTGTGGAGCCCTGAGCTACCATGTTAAAAGACCAACTACCCTGGTGCAGCACTGCTGGAGCTGTGCATGCACCCTGAATGACAGTCCCCCCTGAGCTCTGCCTTCTAGCCACCCCACAAATAATGAGATAGAATACAGAAGTCTGTTTTTGTAAGCCACTAAGCTTGTTATGCAGCTAAACAGAACTATGTGTTAGCAATTATGTAAGTTATTTTGTGCTATATTCTTAGCTCAGTATACTAGAATACCCACTGAGAATACTAGAATATGTGATTGGACGTCCCCAAAACAAAATTTTAACAAAACTGAGTGTCACAAGTTATGTTACTGGTAGTGACCATATAGTTGATATATTATATATGCTCATCTAAGAGAAAAGTAGGAAATTTACTGAATAAAGGTAAACAATAGAAAGTTATAGTTACGATATGTGACGTTAAATTGAAATCTTACTAAAATTGTAGGTTATTTTTATTTATCTGCATGTAGTGTGTGGTCAATGCTCAAAACAAAAGTTGACTTAAAATGACAACATGAACCATAGAACAAAAACAAAGTACTTTCTGGTGTATCCACCTTGTTAAGAATATTAGGTTACATAAAGCCAAAGAGTAGAAATATATGGATCGGGCCGTCCCTGCGGCTGAGTGGTTAAGTTAGCGTGCTCTGCTTCGGCAGCCCAGTTTCCCAGTTTGGATCCTGGGCATGGACATGGCACTGCTCATCAGGCCATGCTGAGGCTGCATTCCACATAGCAGAGCCAGAAGGACATAGCTATGTACTGGGAGGCTTTGGGGAGAAGAAGAAAAGAAAAAAAAAAAAAGATTGGCAACAGATGTTAGCTCAAGGACAATCTTTGGGAAAAAAAAAAGAAATACATGGATTAATTGCTAACCTGGCATTTCTTCTATCCTAGAATTCTGTGTGAATCAAGCAGCACTTTGACCAAATGGGGTATTTTTCAGTCCTGGTATTTTCTTCAAGGACTCGAAAGCAGTTCGAGATTCATCATATGTGCCAGGAGCTGGAGTGATTGATTTGATAGGTACAAATCTCTAATGAAGAACAGGAAAACACGCCAGTGAGAAAATATCGTACATTTTGATACTTCGCGAGTTAAAAGCTGCCTTCTTAGAAATATAACATCTGGAGTTTAATTTATTTCTTAATGGAGTGAAGAAAATGTAGATGAATTAAGATCTTGTACCTATCAAAATGTAAAATATATGGCTTTTAGTAAAATCATCTATATATTAATACAGTAATGCACTATATACTTTAGTAAGCCAGATAGACTTTTCAAAGGAAATTATCTCAATAGAAGATTCTAGATGATAGTGTATGGATAATCTCCAAATTTAAAATATTCTGCAGGTTAAGATAATAAATAAAAAAACTACATGATTTAACACGGTTTCTTCTATGTAATAAAATTACACAAATTGACAAAGTTCCTCAACATACATATTTAATTACCTCAACAGTATCATTTAATACTTTAAGAAAAAATCTTAGATTCAAGTGGTATTTAAATCAAATTTAATTTATAGTATTAAGCTTATTATATTATAAACTTACGATACTAAGTTTACTTATAAACTTACAATATTTAACTTATTAATATTAAATATATATGTATCTATATGTATAACTATGGACTCATAAATATAGCATTGTATAATCTTATTTTTTAACTTTTATTTGGAATTAATTTCAAATTTACAGCAAAGTTGTATGAATAAAAATAATACAGAAAATGCCTGTAGAATGTTTCCCCAGATTCACCTATTGTTAACATGTTACATCATTTGCTTCTCTCGTCTCCCCTCTGTCTCTGTCTCTCCCTTTCTCTCTGTTTGTATGTTTGTCCCTCCCTCTCTCTGTCTCGCTCTATACACACACATACACACACACACACACACACACACACACATAGAACCAGTTAATGGAAAGCTACATACATCATGGTCCTTTACCCCTAAATACTTTGGTATGCATTTGCTAAAAATAGGGATATTTTCTTACATATCCACAGTACAGTTATCAACTCCAGGAAGTGTATCAATGATATAATACTTTTATCTAACCCACCATCCATATACCAAATCTGTCAGCTGATCTAATAATGCCTCTGCTGCATGTTTCCCCTCCGGTACATAATCTCGTCTAGGGTCAGATATTGCTTTTAGCCTCCTTCAACAAGGCGCACTTCCACAGCCTTCCTTTGTGTTTCGTGACTTTGGAAGAATATAGCACACCTCTTTCGTATAATAGAACCTTCCGTAGTTGGGGCTTCTCTGATGCTTCCTTATGACTACATTCAGGTTACGCATTTCAGGACAGAATACTAAGTAAGCGATGTTGTGGCTTTCTCAGTGTATCATATCTGGAGACACATGATGTCCTCTGGACCTCATAAGAGATTTTAATTTTGATCAAATCCAACACTTCCTCTACGTTTATCAGTAAGCACTCTGCATTATACTGTAAGCAAGAGCCCTCCCTTCATCCCCAATTATTTACTTCATGACCTATCCATCTATTTATTATCCATATGGACTCATGAATGCCAGTTTTAATGATTTATAATTAACTACTCTGCTTTTGTTACCAGTAAGGAGCCTCTTAAGTTGGTTCATACAACCCTATGATATGTCTCATCTTTTTTTTGAGACTTTTCTTACTTTCTCACACAACAAGATGTTACAGGTTCATCTTCCACATACTCTTCCCAGTCCCTGCTCCTTGGCTCATTTAGCAGATAGAGCTAGGATATATACCTATATATCTATATCTATACATACACACACACATATACGTAGAGACACATACACATATATACATATATACATTAGAAATCATGATAAATTCACATCAAAACTTTCAATTCAAATTCAATTCAAATACGGGGTCCTTTCTCACCTCCTCCAATCATATGTGTAGTATCTTCTTCCACAGTGAAAACCCTGGCTCACACTATTGACTTTTTGCCCAACCTTGTAGTACATCTGATATAGTTTCATGATCGTTTCCCCCATACCATTACAATAAACCAACCCACTGAAAAACACTTAGAATTTATTTGCAATTCTTGCCCTCACTATCACTCTCTCCATCCTATTCAAGATCGACCTAGTCAAACACTGTGGATGCCTGGATCATTCTTTCTTTTCTTCTCCCTCACTGTGGTTAAGAGTATTCATTTGGAATACAATGATTCATTTGTTTACATTTGCTTTCAGTTTTAGGGTTTTTTTTAAAACCCTTGCCATTCTTATTGATTTATTTTTATTTTTATATTTGAATATATAGAACATTGATATGCTTCCAAAAGACAAATACATATTTTAAAAAGTATACTCAAAGAAATGTTTCTCTCATTTCCCTTCCACTCCATGGATGCTGCACCACTGAGGTGAAAAGTCCAAATTTATAATATTTGCTGATTTCTGTGATATAAATACACCATGATGGTGGCTAATTTCACACTACCATCATAACATCAGCCAACACGCAAAACTGGAAAAATTAAAAATTGGCTCTCGCAGGCCAGCAGAAATGAACTGCAGCATATTACAGCTTCCACTGCATCTCTCCTCACCAGCCCTGCAGGTAACCAACTTTATTGTTTTCTGGTTTATCCTTAATGTGTTTATACAAAGATAAGTGGTTATGTATATGTTTCCTTATTTTCCCTCCTTTCTTATACAAAAGTTAGTATGTTATACATGCCCTTTTGCAGTTTAGAAAGTAGGTAAATCTTAACACTACCAAAAAACAATTTATTACTGGAAGTGCCAAAAAGGACTCTCTCAATTTTTCTCCTAGATACTATCTTCTTATTTAGATGCTGAGTACAATATTTTAAAAATTATAATACTCAACCTTGGTTGTGTATAGAATTACCTGAGGAGTTAAGAAAAAATACTGATACTTGGCCCCTATTTTGGACCAAATGAATCAATCCTTGGAAGACAGGGAAGAAGACACCTGGGCATCAGAATGTATTAAAATTCCCCAGACATTTCTCATATGCAGCAACAGCAGGGAACCATTGTTATAAAGGAAATCTTATGTTTTAAAAATTCATAGTTGAAGACATAAGGAAATTCAATGCATTTAGATAAAATAACAGACAATTCCTTAAATCAATAACCAAAATAAGTATCCCAGAAACATAACCTGTCTTTATTCCTATAAACCAAAAACTATGTGTTTTAAGTCCACCCTGTTAATCATATTATTGCTTTTTCCATCATAGTCTTTAACATACCCGTTCATATTCATCTAAACACTCACTACCTATAGCGAGCAGTCCTGTTGGTTTTAACTCCTCCATATCTTTCACCCCAGAACCGTTATTATTTTCTTCATCATCCCCTTAAACAAAACTGATATCATATTATTTTCCATTTCTGAAAATATATTTCAAATATTATAATTGGTTCCAACTGATGTCAAATTAGGACTATAAATCAGGTGAACAGAAATAGCATAAAAACTGAGAGTTCTAGTTGTAAAAATTGTATTTTTAATAATCAAGGGCATACAAACACAATATCCTGTTCCCACGAATCCGTTTTGTGTAGCACCTTAAGTACCATCAAGTGGCTCAAGGAAGAAACCTGGTATTCATTCTTGATTCTTCCTAATCCCTCAACACAATGTCTAACCCATTAAAAAGTCATGTTAATTATATCTCCAAAATATACCTGCAATCTATTTACCTGTCTCCAAGGAGATGCTTCCTAAGTACGATGAAACCAAAGTAGTCACCCGTAGTCATTTGAAGGTTAATAACCTTCCAAGTTAAAAAAGATAATCATAGCTGTACATAGTACAGTTGGATAAATATCGTAACTACTTTGATCTAGAGGCTACCACGTTGTAAAGTATTATAATTTTCTTGCTCTAGAAATATCTTAGATACTTTCAAGTCCCCTAGTATATATCTTAGAGAATTTGAAATGGTGACTGTGAAACAGACTCTTGCATCACTAATAAGGGCCCCAGTGGCAGTTGTAGACATAACCCATGACCAGGCTCCACAGGGAGCTTTCAGAACATTCTCAGAAAGACAGCCATGTCCTCACAGATTTCACGTAAACGCTCCACACATTCATTGGCAAAATAGATTTAAAAACTCAGACTAAAATCTCTTATAAGCTAAACGGAACTTTCACATATGCAAATTTGCTTAACAGAAAATGTTTAACAGATGGTTTCAATTCAAATATTTATATTGCATATTATTGTTAATATTGTAATCTTATTTCATTTCATTTCATCCACATTTTTCAGCAATATGATTTGCCTAGGCCACGTCTGTTTCCAATTTGCTTAAATATCACTTTTCTTTTTAACATCTCCCCAAACACTACTGGATTGGTTGCTGGCTTCACATTATACCCATTATATTCTACGTATGATAATAACTATAGAACATTACCTGGGACTGAGAAAGAAAAGCAGGTGATGGATCATTTACATTTGATGTCATACTTTCAGTCTTCTGAAATTGACTTTTAATGTCATATTTTCCAGGCCCTGGTACTCCCTAAATTACAGAAAGAAAAAAATACATCTTCTCATTAAGAACGCATCTATAGCCCCTAAGGGAATCGTTGACGAAATATCTGAACCAAAGCTGCAGGATTTTTAAGCAACTTCCTATATATTACCAAAGCACTTCATTAAAAGGCAAGCCAGAACAAACTTCTTGAGAGCAACCGAAAAAAGGAAATTTTCCTTAGCAAAGCTTTCCAGGAACCTGAAAACACACTACTTGAAACTTTGCTGCCCTCTACTGATAGAGCTTAGAAAAAATTATCCAGCTCTTCACATGATTAAATGCTACAGTGAATAAAAGTGGCTTCTATATTTCTTCCATTTAAATGTATACAACCAGTTCTTCTCTAAAAAAAAAATATATATATATATATATATATATATATATATATATTGCTGTCTTTTCAAATTTCCATGAATGGATAGACTGTTTCCAACAAATAAGCCTCAGAATATATTTTAACTACAAATATTAGAAGATGTAAGACATTAAGCTTTTAACTAGATACTTGACAATAGACAAAAATTAATTCAGTCAATACTAGGATTGATGTTTTTGTTATCTTATGAAACAATCTAAATATATATCAATAAGTGCTACTTATTCATCACCAAATATTTTAATTACCTTGATAAAGTATCTTTCATAGTATAAAAAATGTTAGATTCAAATCTTCTGCTTCATATATAGCTGTCCTACTTTTCTTTAGTTGAAAGAATGACTTCTTGATTTATGAATTAAGTACTTGGCTTATAACTCGGATGTACAATAAAATCATATCAGCAAATCTTCTTATCTCCATCACTCTAATATGTCCCAATCCAACCACTTCTCTCCACCTCCATAAATATACAAGCATCTGACCAAGACACCATCTGTACCTGGATTACTGTGAAATCTTCTTAACTGTCCCTGCTTCCACCCTTATCCACCTTCAGTCTGTTTTCAGCACAGCAGCTAGTGATGGATCCAGTTAAGACCCTGAGTCAAACTGCATCACTCCCTTTCTCCAACTCAGCCAATGGCTTCCAATCTCACTTTGAGCAAAAACCAAGGTCTTTAATACGACATGCATTTCACTCCCAGACACTCTATTACCACTCTAACTTCATCTCCTACTACTCTCCCCTCTCCATTCACTCTGTTTCTCAAAAAGATCAGGATATATCCACCTCAGGACCTTTGCACTTGCCATTATCTTTGCTCAGAATGTTCTCCTAGAAGCTCCAGGGCTCACTCCTTCATTTCACTCAAGTAACTACTCAATGTCTCCTTCTCAATGAGTCATTTCCAGGCCACTCAATCTAAAATTTCATTGCCTTCCCCAAACAATTCCAGTCCCCTTTCCTACCCGTTTTTTAACCTGATCACTTTTTATGATCCCAAATACAATTTTCTGCTATGTTGTCAGCTCCAAGAGGGCAGTTATTTTTTTCTGTTTTGTTTGCTGCTGTATCTGTAGAGCATAGCAGAGTACCTGGAGCCCAACAAGTGCTCGGTGAATATCTGCCAGAAGAATGGATGGATGGACAAATGCATGCACTGAGTCCTACATTTTCACAGGCCGTATAACAAATTTGGACATATGTTCCTCTGGGAAATAATGCAGCTCCACATAAGAACATTAGCCATTTCTAATTACAGTAAAATATCTTAAACCCCACATATTAAAAATAATAATTTGAAAAAATTACCTTAGGAGAAATTTTTATGCAGAAGTACCTCTTTTTATAATAGATTAGATTCTAAAAATTTATGCAAAGGTCTACGTTATCTTAAATGAACAAATCTATGCTATCAGGGTGGCTGGCAGAAAAGATACTTTGGCTATGGCATGTAAGATTATTTTTATCTATGAACTTGTAGTAAGTTAAGTTTCTACATAATTCTGTTTATATGAACCCACGAAGTAGGTATGAAATATAGAAATATGGAGAGCATGACTTCAAATACACAATGTTAACCTATTTTCTTGAACTTTACAGATATGCATCTTCTCCCAGTACAGGGAGGTATGGTGAAAAATAATCCGCCACTAATGAACTGGGATTACTTTCCCACTATTTCCAACAGTGGTATAAGTGATCATTACTATGGATCACAGGGAAAAGATTAAGCGTGAATAATGAGACCAGTGAATATACTTAGTCTTGGGAACTACTGTGCATAAAAGCAGAAATGAAATTTTGACCCCTTCAATGAATACTTCCTTTTCCTTTTCTTCTGTTTTTTCATAAAGTTCCTAATGTTACTGAACTTTGCTTCACCAAAATATGATAGAACAGTAAAATTAGGTTCCTTGCTTCTAAAAAGTTAGGCTTAGGATTTAATAAGCCAATTAAAAATAAGCTCCAAAATCAGATTGTGAGACAGTGACCGCTGAAGGGCAGGTCTCCGTTTATGACAATATAAAAGCGAAAAGACTGAGGAGATCAAACCTCAGGCACAGGCTGAAAATGCTGTGATGTTTATCTCGCTTTTTCAAATTGTGATCAACAGACCACATGCATTGATATCACCCTACTAAATACATAGCACCACCCCCACCCGGTGTCTCACCTGAGATCTAGCAAATCAGAATCTTGTGGCATCCAGGAATCGACACGTTTAACAGGCCTCACAGGTGATTCTCACGCACAATTAAGAACCACAGCTCAGCACAAAAGGGGTCACTACTGCAGCTTCTTCTGCTAAGCACATCCACCCTAAGGAAGAAGGCTCAGATCTCGAGGGCATTCTGCCCTGGGAACAGAGGTTAAAGATTATTGGGGCAGTTGTTTATGGCATCTTCTCATGTGTAACCTAATAAAAATGGGCCTCTTTCTTTAAAAACTGATGTATAATCATCCATTTGTTCAGATGGTTGCAGGGATGGGGGACTGGGGAAAGCCACACGGTTTCACCTTTACTCCTCAAACGTGGAGCCATCGTCAGAGACGATTATTTTCTCTAAAATTACTAAAAGCTTACTACATGCAAAGCACTGATATATAGTAATAAATAAAGTGGGGGCTCTGCTTTTGAGAAGCTCACCCTGGATCAGTGGTTCTCAACCCAGGCTGCACAAGAAGATCACCTGGGGCACTTTCAAAACTAACAAGGCTTCTTTCCACCTCATTCAAATTAAGGCCGATGGAAATGATACTCAGGCATTATGAACATTTCAAAAAATTTTAAAAGCTTCCTGGCTGATTCTAATGTGTAGTTTAAATCAGTTTAAAACTCCCACTGCCAGGCCTCACCCAGGTGCAATCCCCTTCTATCGGTTCTGTGGCCACCCTTGTTTCTGAGAGTTTCAGTCTCCTTCACGTAAACAAGGACTGCAGTGTGACCAGGTTGCCACGTATTTCTTTCAGCTCACATTCCACCATTTTAACCTCTGCAATCATATCTTTAATTTTCAATTCTCTTCTTATTTTCTAAATCTTTATCCACACCTGCATTATCCTCCATCTTTCTATGGATATTAATTACAATTTTAATTATTTATAATTCTGTTCCACTGTCTGTTTCCTTGGAGTGTCACTGATGTTGGGTTGTTTGTTTTTGTTTCATGTTGAAGGGTTTCCTCAAATGTCTGGGGATACCCTCCTCCTCCTTCATATCTAAGAGTGAGCCACTAAAGTTGATTGAAAATTTCATACCCGGATAGATGTGACTCGAAACCTATGGCACTTCATTATGCCGTGATGGAATCACCACTCAGCCTTTGTGTTAGCGGGCCTCCAAATGTCAGGCTTTTCTCAAGTCTGGCTGACAATTTAGGTGAGTGGAAAAGATACCTGGAACTCTCTCCCCATTCTGTATGGAAACCTTTCATTTACACTCTCCATTTTCTTCCTGTCTCATTTTCAATTATGAAAAATTTAAAACACACCAAAAAATATAGAGAATAGTATAAGAAATTCCCATATACTCAACAGCCAGGATCCATAATCTTCAACTCGTGTCCAAATTTGTTTCCTAATTCTACCAACTCCCCCAGTTCTCACTCCAGTGACGTAGAGGCAAATCCAAAATATCATATGATTTCATCAACAAATACTTCAGAATGTATCTCCAAAAAACAGGGGACTCTTTTTTGACATAACCACAACACCATTTTTCTATCTTAAGAAAAATGAACAATGATTTCTCATTCCTTAATTATTCAGAGTTCAAATTTTTGTGACTGCCTCAAATTTATGTTTATTAGATATGTCTATATTAAATATAAAAATATATAAATTTTATATGTTTGTGTCTTTTAATCAGAATCCAATTAAAGTCCATAGTTATACATAGTCAATATGTTTTTAAGTCTCTTGTAATCCATAGGTTTCTTCTCGTCACTTTTTTGTCCTTTGAATTTTTTTGTTGAAGAAGCTAAGTTTTTTGTCCAATTTTTTAAGAGTTTCTAACAGTTTGTATTTTTTTTAATTTAATATCTATGTATTTCCTGTCCCTTGTACTTTCTGTAAACTGGCAGTTTGATATAAAGGCTTAATCAGATTCCAATTCAATTTTCTTTTCTTGACAAGATTATTTCACAGGTGGTGCTATATACTTCCACCAGGAGGCACATATAATAGTTGATTCTCTCTCACTCTGCTATGTTACTGTAGTGGCCATTAATGATTACTGACTAGATCTAGTAATTCATCAGAGGTTCCAAAATGATGATATGATAATTCTATAATCCTTTCTCATTTATTGGCTGAAATAATTCTATAAAGAGAGACTTTCTCATCAACTATTTGGTTACCCTAAGGTATAGTTCATATAGGAAAAGCAAAATAAATGCTTGGGAGTTTTTTTCCCTTTTATTTACCACTTTCAAAGTACCAAGTTGGACTCTTGCATCTTCCAACACTAATCAATGATTTTTCAAATTCTAAACTCATAGATTTAAATATATTTGAATTATCTCAACCCATTGGAGTTGCATTGCTCACTGAAATTTTTATCCCATCTTTGGTCAGTGAGAACCTATCTGAATGAGCCCCTGA